CTCCTTCATCTCTACTATAGTTGCTTGGAGCTTTTCCTCTTTGGTCTTTGCATCCAATTCTAGAAGTAATTAGGAGCCATGTTCATATTCAGTAGTGTACTGAAATTGATGTGAGGATCAGATATGCAGGAAACTAAACTCACCTTTATCATTGTATATTTTCTCCGCTGATTCCAGCGAACAGCGAAGATTTTCCTTCCCGTGGACATGGGTTTCTTCCACTTGTTGGTACCATCTAACAAAAACTGTAAGGTTCTTGATAATATCCTCCATTTGCTCAATCTTAGCCTGTAGTACCACAAGGAAACTGAAAAGAAAACATTTTTAAAGTGAAACAACAAAATGAATTTCCTGAAATTTCCTAGAATCAAACAATTAGTTGTCAGTACACAAACCTTGGTACCAAACTATCCGGCTTTTGCTCTCACATTAAGTGAAGCCAACATTTCATCTTTTGTAAATCCTACTTTACTACATTCCTCTAAGCTACCCACATCGCTGTTCACAGTAACATCATGGCTATGCATTGTCTTAGCCACTTGTCTTCTTCCAGTACCTTGCGTATCTATTTTCCTTCGCTTGTCAAAGGGAAGTTTCTATAAATGGTTCAGAAAAACCAAAAAAAAATTGAAATCAATTTTACAAGAGAAACCATAATCCTGATATTACAATGCAAAATCATTGGAACCTACAATCGCCATGAATGTTCTCAAATAACGTATCACTGTCGAATTTCATTTGACTTTGAAAGAGATCTTAAATCACTTAATCTGGAATTCAATCGAACAAAACCCTTAAGACATATTCTAGTGATTCATACAACCATTCAAACAACTTAACTAAATATCATCTTCTAAAAACACAAATATGAGGATTAAGAAGACCGAAAAATTGGCTTACGGTGTTTGGAATGCAAGGAACGCGATTTTGGTTTCAAAGTGAAATCTTTGAGAATAAACAACAAAAAACAACAACAACAAAACTTTCGATGATTTCCTTCTCCTTCGTTGGAATACCAGGATGATAACAAAGATCTTGATCTTTTTTTCGCTGGAAACCCTAGACGAAGAAGAGAAGAAGCGCAAATAGGCGAATGGTTTTTTTGTCGAAGATTTTTTTCCGGCTTGTTTTGTTATTTTTGTGGACACGTGTTATGCATAGAGACCAGCCACTTGTCCTTTTCTGGAGAGTGCTGGCCTNTTATTATATTATAAAATTATAGATTGGTTTATTGAAAATAAAAACACTCGGTTTGAAAAAAAAACTACAAGCATTCTTAAGTGTTGAAATCATGACCTTTGATTAAAACAACACACCAATGCAAGACCACCAGACCAAAGCAACTTTTGTGAAATTTATGGCCAAAATTTACTTACATCATCCAGGGCTGCAAGCATGGGCTTGGGCTGCTTACACTTAGGGTCGGTCCTAGGTGAAACTAAAGTTTTTTGGTTTGGTAATTGGTTACCTGTTTGGAGTCTTATAGCAACTACTAGGGAGATTGGCACTAGACAGTTGGGAGTTAAGAAGTTAGATCTAGTTTGTGATGCAGCGAAATTTTTTCCTTGGTCAGGACAAAGTTTACTGGCACTACGCCATGACTGATTTTAAGCCATGTTAGTCAGCTGCCAAAACATGGGATTAAATCAGGATATCTCAAACTAATCATCGATAGAGCAAACAAATTTGGTATTCGCAAGAATTTCAGAGTACGCATTTACCATTTTGTTAGCGGTCAAAAACCATTAATCCCCTCGAGCTCGGATGCGAACATGTGGGTAATGCTAAAGCTTGCTTCAATTGTGGTGAGGCCGATGAGATCAGAGAGCACTTGTTCTTTGCTTGTCCATATTATTTCACGATTTGGTTTGATATTAGCAGGGCTCTTCTCGGAACTGCAACTGGTTTTGATTGGGAAGTAACTCTTCAACATCTTGTGACTCACCACTCTGACAAAATCAATTATATCTTGATTCGGTTAGCCTTGCTAACGACATTATCTTTGAAAGGAGCAAAAAAAAAGAAGTGGTAAATACATCTACCAAACAACGATCGATCTGACCCGAGTTATTGAGAAGGTGATTCGAAATAAAGTATCATCTCTTCATTATTTCGGTCAATTTCAATTACAAAATCTGCTTCAGCGAAGGTGTCAATCAAGGATAATCTCATAGATTGCTTTAATAGTTGGCTTTCAATATGGATTTTGATATTTCCATCCAAACTGTTTTCTTGTTCCATTTTTTTTATATAATATTTTTGTTGATCAATAACTTTAACATATCAACAACAACAAAATCTTCTATTTCGTCTCTAATATTTATCTCTCTCACCAGCCTTTCTCTTCTTATTTCACCGCCTTCATGTGATTTTTTTTCAAAAGTCGAAACCGCCATATAATTGGTTCTTTGGCTGGTTTGTAACATCAATGTTTG